TGTATTTTTACACGCTTTATTTAATGTCTGTTTTGATAAAGGTATAGTACCTTCTGTTTGGAACAAATGCCTAATCAATCAAATACCAAAGTCATCAACTGCAGATGGTAGGGATCCTTTATCATATAGGGGTATATCCTTGACATGTTCTATGTATAAGTTATATTGTAACATTTTACATGATAGATTGAGTTCATGGTCTGAAGCCAATAACATTATTGTTGATGAACAGAACGGCTTCCGAAGGAAAAGAAGCACAACTGATCACATTTCATCTCTTGTTAACCTAATTGATACTAGGAAGAAAATGAAAAAAAGTACTTTTACAGCCTTTATCGATTTTCGTAAAGCTTATGACCTAATCAATCGTTCTAAGTTGTGGAGTCGATTACAAGTTACTGGTGTTTGTGGCAAAATGTTACGAGCCATTAAGTCTTTATATTCATCTTTAGCATCATGTGTTAGAATTAACTCGTTCACTACTGACTGGTTTTGACGTCCACTGTGGCTTACGTCAAGGCTGTGTTTTATCACCTTTACTTTTTAATCTTTATATCAATGATCTTGCGTTGTATTTAAAGTCTCTTAATATTGGTGTAACAATTGATGATGAAATTTTATGTATACTTTTGTATGCTGATGATATTGTGCTACTTGCGGAAACCGAGCGTGACTTACAATGTTTATCAAATGGTCTACACGATTGGTGTAGTATAAACGACATGTCAATAAATACAAGCAAGAGTAACATTGTTTCATTTCGCCCAGAAACCTGTACTAGATCAGATTTTGTCTTTAAAATTTGGTCATGATACGTTAAGTTATGCTGGATAAATACAAATATTTGGGAATCGTTTTGCATGAGCATGTCGATTTTAATGTTACAGCTAGGATGGTGGCACAAAGCGCTAGCCGTGCGTTAGGCTTACTGATAGCCAAGTGTAAGTTAGTTGGAGGGGTTCCTCATAGCGTTTTTACTAAATTGTATGATTCTGTTGTATGGCCCGTTATTGCGTATGGGGCTTCCTTATGGGGTCATAAGTCATATTCTTGCATAAATGCTGTCCATAATCGAGCTATGAGATTCTTCCTTTGGGTGGGAAAATATACGCCCAATGTAGCAGTTTCAGGAGATATGGGTTGGGTCCCCCCTTTGGTCCGGCAATGGAAATCAGTGGCCACTTTTTGGGCGCGCCTTTCCCAAACAAATACTTGTAGACTAAATAAACGGATTGAACTTTGGTCGTTGACAAAAGGTGCTCCTCAATGTAAAAATTGGTTTTATCATGTCCAAAAGCAATGGAATGATTTAAATCTTGGTATGTTTTGCGACTTGTCTTCACCCATTGCTAAAACTTCCTTTGTGCGCCAGGTTGAATCTTTGACTATGGAGAGATTTAAGGCTGAATGGATCCGTTCGATTAATTGTACAGTGGGTCCGTCAGGTAGGGGTCTGAATAAACTGAGAACCTATAGAACGTTTAAGCAGAAACATTTTTCAGAAGAGTATTGTAAAATGATCTTACCCCCTAGACATAGGTCAGCGTTTTGTAAATTTAGGTGTGGGTAGCCCCTATTCGTATCGAAACGGGTAGGTACGAAAATCTGAGATTAGATGACCGCCACTGTCCTTTTTGTAATGTACTTGAAGATGAACAGCATGTTATATTAGACTGCCCAGTATATGATGATTTTAGATCAGAATTACTCTCTAAGGCTGTGTTGCACGAACCTTCTTTTATTAATTTTAGCAAAGACAACCAACTTGCATTTTTGTTCTCTAGTCAACCATTAGTCATAAAATGTGCCAAAACCTGTTTTAATATTCTTCAACGTCGTCAATCTTACTTGTGTAAATGATATATTTATATAGAACATGCTATGTTTTTTATATTTTTTTTATGTTTTGATGTATGTGTTTTATTTATTTTTATTTTTTTTTCTTATTTTGAAATAAAAAAAATAGCGACTGTTTTTTTTAAATCATATAAATAATAAAATGTATATTTCTTTCCATTAAATTTATAGTATTCTGTACTGTGTAGTTAGTTTATTATTTATAATTGGATATAATTTTATGATTAGTATGATATTTTTTTATCGTGTTATTATAAAATTAATGTTTTACTAGTCTCTTATAATTCAATGATTGAATGGTCATGTACTTTTCTGTGTTTTATGTTTGCTTATGAATTTTATTTGTGTATGTACATGAATGAGACTTAAATAAATAAATAAATACAGATTCAATACGTTATGGTTAACCAAACAAATTGTTTTTCAGTTTTAGTTTTATTTCAGTTTTATTTATTTGCATAATCAGGCCTCCGGCCCATACACATATATATATACAACATTATAATTTACATCTAATTATGAAGCATGAAGTCAAGGATTAACAATGACAAATTTCAGTTTATAATACCAATCTAACATAATATAATTTATATTGATATAAAAACACATAAATTCCTCTCAATAGGCTTACAATATCATCTGTTATTTAATAATGCTTGATACTTAAACAGAATCGAACTTTGCTTATAATGTATAATATCTAATGAACATGTGTACGCCTCATAGAATATAAGAAATACGATAACCTGCAATGAGAGAGCATGATAAACCAAATGGAAAATCAAAACACTGACAGAAAGTCTTCTCTTTTTTAAAAGAGTAATTAATAAACATGGCTAAATTTCTTATAAACATTTGTACTGGTCACATGACATCAGCCTGTAATATGTATCCAAAGTAGGATTATTAATAAACATTGATTGGTATGAATTTTCCCCTGATTTCAGAATAAAGAGGACATATAAGAACAAAATGAAACTCATCTCGATAACGGTTTCACAATAAGGACAGAAACGGAAGTCTCTTGGAATATTCTTATGTCTACCCTGTTCAATCATTAAATTATGACATGAACTACGAAATTTAGCCATACTAGATCTAAACTTTTCAACATCAAGTATTGCAATATATTTTTCTAGATTATAATTTTTGTTTAAAACTGTATATAACTATATAATTTACTACTAGATCGGCACCGAGCAGTCCAATTTTGAATATACTGATCTTTCAACCTTTGTACATATTGCTTTTTGCAAAAAAGTTTTTTGTTTATTACTTTTTGTTTTCCCATGCATATCCAAACCCATTTGAATAAAGAATTGTTTTTTACATCTGTTGCCCAATTTGTGTGCCCTACACTATCATAATGAACAAGCATTTCATAGCAAAGTTTTACATACCTATTTCTTGGTAAATCAAGCAAACGTAACCAATACTTAATACATCGTTTTGCTGAATAAATATGCATTGGGAATCTGCCTAAATCACCTAATATTGCATCATTACATGCATTTGTTTGTACTTTTAAGACTCTTTTACAGGCATAATTTTGTACAATTTCTATACACTGTGGTTGTTTCATTCCCCATAATTCTGCCCCATATAGCAGCACAGATGAAACCTTAGAATCAAATATTTTGAAAAATGTATTTGTAGATAGACATGAAAAACTTTGAAATGAACAAATTGTATGAATGCGTCGAAAATGAATAACTTATTAAATCGCCCTAGTATCTAGCAGTAAGCATCCACTATTACTGCAGGCTTATCGTCTATTTATAACACACATCAAGATCAGATTAGAGAAAAAACTACTTGGATAACGAGTTCTAGATAGGTTACCGCAATCACGTACATGTATAAGTAATTGATTTGCTAATGAGCTTGCTTTGATAATTTCATAAATGCTTTTATTTGATTGTATAAAATATCGTAATTATAAAATGACGGTCTACGTGTATCTATCGCAACATCGCAAAGAAGCATGTATTGATAATGACTTTGGACCAAATGATAAAATAATAAATAAATTTGAATTATGTGTAATATGAAATTAATGATATATGAATTAAATAAATATGTTTAGGATACCTTATGATAAGATTGAGATGTTTTTAATAAGTTTATCATATATAAGTTAAGATTTGAACATTATATCAGTAATAGCTGTCTGTGAACCAGCTGTAAGATTCTATAGAGGTGTTTACGATAACAACTGTCTTAATGAATTTATCAATATCAGTGTAATATTGAAAATTACTGTATTATGGGATGAAACCGGATAATAATTATAAAGTGTTATCATATTGTGAACAGATGACATAACCTTGAAAAAAAAACATGTAGAATGTTTTATATAAAACCCAATCATTCTGCACGTTCAAATTTGTTATGTCGCTTTTCATTGGAAAATTGTATAATTATATTAATAATATACACGGCTGATGTAAATTTTTGAAGTTATTTCTTCTTTTTTCTTCTCTTATTAAGGAAGTTGTCTGTATTTTAAATTCGTTATAAAGATTCCTGACATGTTATATGTCCGTATTTGAACGATTGTAATATAACCTCCGTCATGCGGCTTGGTATACTGCATAGTTTTCGTATAAACATATATATTTGCTTAGCTTAATCATAATTTGATTATAAACACTAATTTAAAAAGTAATGTTCTAAGTTATTATGTTCACATGGTTGTAGCATTCAAAATGTATAGAGGACAAAAATGTGTTTAGGGAGATAATTTACTTACACAAGTGACTTTTAATCAATTAAATATGCTCTAAATTGTGCCACATTTTCATGACCTCGGCCATTAAAATATACATGTACTTGAGATAAAGGGTGTTAACCCCCACTAGTTTAAAGAGTTCGGTTGAATGCCATGACAAGGCAAATCTTTCTAATCCAGTTAAATGCTTGTGCCGTAAGAAAGAAAGGTTATGTATTCCTATGATTAATTATGCATAAATTAAACCTACTAAAATATTTGGAAAACTTCAATGCCTATAATTATTTTAATTTAAGCGTTTGAGATTATCATTATACAATATGATAGCAATAAAGGCATGGCTGAAGTATCCTTTTGTTGTAATTATCTTAATTAGCCTTTTGATTATATTTTAGTTATCTTTTCGTTTCAGTTTGGTACTGTCTACTTGAAACAAGGAAATTTGCATATTGAATTCATCCTAATTTTTCATACGGATTTATTTGAAGTAAGTAGTAATTTCTCTTACGTTAAGATTGCAGTTATTTGGTCAAAAGAACATAGTCATTTGTGTAACAAAATACACATGTTACTTAGATAATACCGCATTATATGTATTCATGTACAGCACAATATGTGTATTCACATATATCTTTTTTGCTTAATAATTACAATATGATCATACTGAACAGATATTGTCTTCGGAAAAAAAGTTGCAAAGATGTTTCTTACTGTAGTATACTTCTAAATACAAATTCAATAGGGCAGTAATTCAATTTAGATTAAGTATATCAACTCATTGGTACAACATACAAACCAATAAATTTGAGGTGTCAATATATGTACGTTTTCTTTTATAAGAACAGTGAATAACTAATATCATTGAATGATATTGCATTCACTTCGTGATATTTAAAGTACCTAGTCGATCATCAGTCAACGTTGATTTGAAGATTATATACACGTAATATCAATAACATAATTGAGCTGCGTCATGACAAAACCAACATAGTGGGTTTGCGCATTCTGATCAGGATCCATGCTGTTCGCTATCAGTTTCTCTACTTGTAATAGGATTGGTAAGCGAACAGCATGGATCCTGATTAGAATGCGCGGATGCGCACGCTGGTCTGGAACCATGCTGGTCGCAAACCCACTATGTTGGTTTTGTCGTGACGCGGCTCAATTACTATAGTTATCCTTGTATGGTTAAATTCATTGATCTGATAAACACATGTAATACAAATACTTTGAATAAATAAGCAATATTTTGTAACAAATCATTTTGTATCAGAAAGGGGAGCAGTTTTAGAATCTGTCCACAGCAAAATCCATGTTTTAAAATCCTAACCCTAACCCATAACCCTCTAAACTGTAACCCTAACCCACAGCATTAGCCCTTAACCTAACCTTAACCGAGTGATTTTGTTGAGAAATTTAAATATTCAAAATATAATAATTTGTAAAATTATAATGTTAAAGATACCCTGATAATACCAAATGTTAAATTTGTATGTTTGTATTTTCACTATCGCTGTATTTACTAGTTATGCTGTATATTTGTGAAACGACGAAGAACTGTTATGTTCAAGCATATTGAATAATAAAATCTAATCTGTTTTGATGAATTAAAACCAAGATTACTTTAAGGTGTTAGTAATATATATAGTAGTGTTTAATTAAAGATATCACTCAGCGAAACTAGATTTTGAAAGAGTTATTTCAAGAGTTGTCGAGTCTCGAGGAGGCATTTAAGAAAACACTGGTAGAAAAGCAAATGAGCCGCGTCACGACAAAACCAACATAATGGGTTGGCGACCAGCATGGATCCAGACCAGCCTGCGCACCCGCGCAGTCTGATAAGGGTCCATGCTGTTCGCTATCAGTTTCTCTACTTGTAATACGGTTTGTAAGCGAACAGCATGGATCCTGATCAGACTGCGCGGATGCGCAGGCTGGTCTGGATCCATGCTGGTCGCAAACACACTATGTTGGTTTTGTCGTGACGTGGCTCAAATATTCAGACAAAAACATGATTATTTGTAAGAGATACATGATGTGATATGTGTAAATGACGCTGATACTAATAACGTAGAACCTTAATGTAGGATTCGAATTGTGGTTTTCTATTAAGCTATTAGGACAATTATGTTCACATATATGTACAACGACTATTAGTGTCTGTTATTTTTCTTTTCTATCACAAATGTTTGCTTCACTTTCTTTCGGTTAGTTGATTTAAAAATATATTAAGCTCAAATTACATGGTAAAGCTATTGATTATAGCTACATAGTCTCTATGTTAGAGTAAAATAGATTACTTTTAAATCACACATAGTAGAAACATCATGTTAAAAAATCTACAGTTTACAATGTATGAATACAAAGTATCATTAAAAACTGTCTTTTTTAAGGGACAACCTTAACATTAACTGTAATAAGAAATGTAGCTTCCGATGTGAATAGTTTGTTCATATATTTTAAATAAATTTCTGCAGTTAGCAAAGTATATCTTTAATAATGTAATCCTGGCTTTGTCTTACAAAACAAAAATTGAGTTTATCATAAAACGCTGATTATATTTAATATTATTGTAAAAAAGGAAATTATATATTTCATTTTACCTTTGGCATATAAACCAAGATAAAAATGGTATGTTGCTTTTACTACCTAAACAACATTTAAAACCTGTTTTAATGTCAATATTCCAAAATATTAAGCCTTGATCCGCCTTTATTTACAGCAGTCTATGGCTTATGAAAATATACCGGAGATAAAATCTCTTTTGAAGCAGATAAAATAAATAAAGCAACGAAAACATTTTTTACACTTTTTGTAGTATAAAGTAAATATTTTGAAATGAAAGCAAGACCCTAATGATTAATGGGAAAATAACCAAATTATAAGATAGTAATTAATCCGTTCACTTGATCTAGAAGATATAGAGGGAAATACAGATACAGTAGCATGTTGATATGATACAAGTAAATCTGAATGAAGACTTATGTCTTAGCTTCCACTGAAATCTTTGACGATCTGAATTTTGTTAACCGCATATATGAACAAAACAAGACCATTGTTTCTATTTTGCACAGACATATATAGAGGATATTGAATGAGTGTAGATTCAATACTGAATTTTTTGAACGTGTTACCGTTTTTTATCACACATCCGTGCCGATTTTGCGACTCCGTAAATATGGTATTGCACGGCCGTGCATATATTTTGACGTGACGTCATTAGCGTTATACAAACATAGTGTAAAGACGCGCTAAATGTTAGCGTTATACTATAGGCGCGTCAATGAAAAATGACTCTTATTTCACTTTAAACGGTCTTTATTTTTGGTATGTGATAAACAGAATATTAAATTCGTGTAAGTTCATTACTGAATTTATTGCACTCGTTGAATAAAATAATATTATGCTCGCCAGAGGCTCGCATAATATAATTTTATTCAACTCGTGCAATAAATTTAGTATTGAACTTACACTAATTCAATATCCTCTATATAGTGTCGCAAAATCGGCACGGGTATGTGATATATAAATGTTTATCGCCAATACGTTGGTACAATGTATGGCGGGTAAAGATTCACATTTTGTACTATGTTTGCATTGAGATAAATTTGTTGCATTGATAGCACTTACTTTTACACAAATTGTTCGTTTTTAATTTTTTTTCCTAAGTGGATTGGTCTATAATAAGCAAATTTGCGAACAACATCATTATGTGTATAATTCATTCGTAATTTGTTGTTATGCATAATACTTAATACGGTCAATGTAATTATTCATTGTATTACTTACCTTCACTTTTGCCAAATAAAAACTGAAACTGAAACTGTTAGACCTTTTCATTTAAAATTAAAATAAAACCAACGAAATTCGGCCAATAAAACTCCGGTTTTTAAATAAGTAAAAGTTAGGTATGTTGAGGAGCTCATTGTTATCTCATTTGAAATAGATATATATTTTATCATGTAAGTGAATTATTACCATTTGTAACTAAAGTGTAAAGGGTTAAAAAAGAGAGCCGTATCACAATCTCAGTTGGAAACATACATTTTCTCACACATACAATATGTAAAGTATATTAAGCACGTATCTACGGAAGCTTATCAGGGCCTCCACTTATCTAAAAGTTGCACGTCATGTCAACTTGTTTCTTCTCGTTTTGACCAAATACATTCCATGAAGACATTAAGATTAATACGTAATGCATAAAACATTCCATGAAGACGTTATGATTAATACGTAATACGTAGAAGTTTTTAATCATTGCAAAAAATCTTTGTTAAATAACGTGAGCTATTTGTCAATGCGAGTAGCGTCTTTGCGTCTTACTTAATATTTCAGCAAAGTCGACAAATCAAGAAGTTTCGACAGGATTTTTGTCGAAGAGACAAAAGCTTCAAGCATATCGAGAAAAATTCAGTTACAATGCCTAAAAGCTTCTCATCTTTGTCAGTAAATTTTATTGAGAAATGCAAAAACATCTTATCAATGCGAATAAAAATAAGTCGACTTAGCGTAAAACATCTCACCAAATGTAGGCCCTGTGATACGCTTCCGTACGTATCATATATATGTAAAATGATATTGATAAGGATTATCTCGAGAAATAATCCGAGATATATTAAGAAATACATATCGAATTAGATTTAGATTAAATTGTGTATCTCGTTAACAGAGTCACGTGTTGAGTCTATATAGAAACAGTTACAGAATAAATTATGTTTTTTTAAGATATCAACTAACTATTTAACTTTCTGTTTGCCCCACCTACTAAACTTATGGCTGAAAGCTGTCTAAAATTAAGATCAGATAAACTATTCTAATCTACACCACGCCTAGAATAAATAAGTGCTGATTTATTTTACTTTTTATTCAGCATACGTAACAATTTTCAATAACTTTATGAGTTCTAAGATACTTTGTAAATAATAAACCGATAGATTATAGAGATATTCAAAGGTGTTGTGTCCAAAGGAACGCTAAAAGATTAAGGGTATAATTTCCAAACAGTAATACATTAAATACCTTTATAGGTTTCATGTTATTTGCGTAATTCAAGGGCGGCGGACGAAATTGATTATATATATTCTCATAGACATCTTTGAAGAAGATTTCTAAATTATGAATATCATTGAATATCTTACACCATCTGACGAATGTATACATATTAGAATTAAAAATGTTATATCAATATACAAGCTTCCTGTGGTATAAGATAAAACCTGTCAAAAACTTAAAGATAAGATAATCGCATCTTACTTGACAGACGAGAAAAAAATACAAGAATAATCAATTCTAATAAACATTAAAACATTACACATAAACTTGTTACGACACCTAAATCAATTTGTGGTCAAAATAAAAAATTGGGACAAAAAGGGATATTTAATATGAACTAAGGGAGTACATCGAATACTAATATTTATTTGAATTTTGGATATTCTTCTGGCACTTTGGTTGTTTAACCCTGTAAATATCAAAATTCAAGAG